GTTTGCCACAGCAGCAACCCCCGCTCCATGCCGCCTGAAGGCTTTTGGGTTTATTTGTCTTAAAAAATTGTAATTGACAGATCATGATAACATTGTAATGCTATAGTGCAGGGATCTCACAGGCACCGTGGTGCCCACCAGTTCCCTCCAAATTCTCCTTTATGTAACCTAAACTCATTCAAATTTGGAAGAATTTCTAGCAGCAGATCTGATTGAAGAGTTTCGGGCAAATACCGGCATCCACTGTGTTCCCACTACTAGGGATGGGCAAAATCCTAAAAAATCCAGTTTGGTTCGTGGTTCAGGGTGGCCCCCAAACCAAACCCTGAACCAAACCGAGCAAAAAAAAAGCTTTCTCCCACCGGGGGGGGGGGGGATCACCAGGGAAGGGTGTCAGAGCAGGGGCAGAGAAACTCAAGGTTTAATGTCTTGCAGCCATTTGAACCTAACAGCTGACAGCATACCTACCCTGCTGTTAGGTTTAAATGGCTAGCTGCCATTTCACCTGTCCATTTCACTTCCCCCTGCTTGAAAGCAGGGGGAAAGCAAAACCCACTGGTGAAATTACTCACACAGGCACTCTAGCACAGGCACTTTAGCAATGTCTACATGGGGAGAGAATTGGTGGGTAGGGATGGGCACAAACTGGCTTGCGAGCCAAAATTCAACATGAACTTGGGCAGGTTCAGAGTCCTCCAACCGAAGTTCAGGGAAGGCGCCTTCCCCAAATATTTACCAGACTTTTGTCCATTTCAGTTCAGCTGTTTGGGCCATTTAAACCTAACAACTGAGTGGCGCAAGTCCGCAACTGACCTGTTAGGTTTAAATGACCGCCAGCCATTTCACCAGTCCGTTTCGCTTCCCTCCCGTTTCCAAGCATTGTACCCTGCTGAAGTCCCTCCCTCCCCAAACCCTGCCCTCTCCAGGCTGCACTCCCAAAATCTCCAGGTATTTGGGAATTAATATACCAGAAAGGAAAGAGAAAAGCTAAACTTAGCTACCTTGCTAACACACACACGGGAAGGGGGGAGAGAGAGACACAGAGAGAGAGAGGCTGACTGACTTCTGGACTGTTCTAGAAGAAAAGCCGAAGAATCACATTCTGCAGACAGACAAGGAGAAGCCGCTTAGAAAGAAGGCACTTCCCCTACAGCCCCGTCTACCTGGAGCTTGCTGCCCCCTGCAGGATCTTCTTTCTTCTTTGTACACAAGACATTGCTCTATTCCAACAGCTGACCTAACCTTTGGGAGCTGTTTCCATGTGCTTCAGTTCCTTTAGATGGTTTCCTCCTCCTGGGTATCCCTTAAGCCATCAGTGCTTGGGAAAAGAGGAGGAGATCCATGGTCTTGTTTCTCCTTTTTAGGCTCACTATATCCTTTTAAGTAGCCCAACGTTTCCTTTGCAGTGGCTTCTTCCCAGCCAGCGGAAGCCTTTTTACTTCTTTCTTTGACTGATCTCTAACAGCAAAATGGTTTCCTTCCGCTCTCTCACCCTTTTCTGCTAAGTATCTTTAGCTATCTCAGCTTTTTGCCAAAGGTCTCCAGGCAGGGTGCAAATAGATAAACATTCCATTTTCCCCACAACCTGTGAGATAGGTTAGGCTCAGAAAGGGGGGGAGGGGGAGGGGAGAGAGAGGGGGAGAGAAAGAAAGGGAGGGTATGTTTAGCCTGAAGAGGAGACGACTGAGAGGTGATATTGCAACCATTTTCAAGTACTTGCTGTCATCTAGAGCAGGTATGTCCAACAGGTAGATCGCGATCTACCAGTAGATCATGGAGGGGTCACAGGTAGATCACCAGCCCCACTTGGTCTCCTCTTTTGCTGGACAGGTGTTTGGGTTTTTTTGTTATAACTCAATAAAAAATAAAAAATGTCCGCAGTTCTTTCTGGATCTTCGTCTCTCTATTTTGTTTTTGCTTATTTTGCTTACCAGTAAACGACAGAAGGTGCATTATAAATTGGGGAGGGGGGGCGGTGGAACCCAACTTTAGTGGGTTAAAATCTAATTTGAAACTAATTCGAAACTTTATTTTCATGGTGTTAGATCACCGGCACTTTTGGCCGGAAAAAATAGATCACTACCTGTTCGAAGTTGGACATGCCTGGACTAGAGAATGGTGTGGTTTTCTGCTGCCCCAGAAAGTCGAACCAGAACCAACAGGTTGAAATTAAGTCAGAAGAGTTTTTGGCTAAACATTAGGAAGAACTTCCTGACAGGGCGGTTCCTCAGTGGAACAGGCTTCCTGGGGAGGGGGGTGGGCTCTCCTTTTTTTGGAGGTTTTCAAACAGAAGCTAGATGGCCATCTGACAGCCATGCTGATCCTGTGAACTTAAGGCAGATCATGAGAGGGAGGGCAGGAAGGGTTGCCTCAGTTGCTTAGTTCTTATGGCCCTTTCCTACATGCCCAGGGAAATGCTGATCACCACTTTGGGGTCAGGAAGCAATTTTCCTCCAGATCAGTTTGGCCAGGGATCCTGGAGGTTTTTTGCCATCTTCTGGGCATGGAACAGGGGTCACTGAGGGCCTGTGGGGGGGAGTTGGTATTTGTGAATTTCCTACATTTTGCAGGGGGTTGGACTAGATGACCCTGGAGGTCCTTTCCAACTCTGTGACTCTGTGATTCTGTGACAGTTTTATATATTTTAAAAATCACAATTGGGCGGGGGGTGTGTGTTTATTCATCATCTCAAACAAGACACGGCTAAACGCAGTCACCAGTTACACAACTATCTAGAAATGCCTTCGGTCTCCTTATTCTGGTGAAACCTCCTTTCCGGGTCCCCTCACATCACAAACTGACCTTCTGTTCCCGTTCAGAGGTGTCGGCCTTTCTACGAGTCCCTCTTCCGCCAGGCGCACCCGGTTCGGACCCTGCAGCACCTGTGCCGCTGTGCCCTCAGACGGACACTGGGCAGGAGATGCCACCATCTCATCCCCTTGCTCCCTGTGCCCCATTCCTTACGAAGCTACCTCCTGCTGGAACCGGAGGGAGTCCTCCTCTGAAGGTCCCGCAGCCCCTCCACCGAACGTCGACACCGTGTCCTTTTGCTGCCTCGTCTCCACTGATGTACAGCAGACTTCGCTGCTTGTCTGTCCACGATTTCCCATTTCTGCTATAAATAAAATGCTTTCTGCGTTCGTACAAGGCTATGGTTTTACAGAGAGTCAAAGATTTTCTTTTTTACGATATGGTTTTCCTCGTGTACATTTCACTTTGCAGCTGCGCCGGTTTGCTGGCTTACTGCTTCATAGATTTCTTCCTCGGTGATCTATTAGTACAATATAAACAGCATAGAGCATGAATAGTAAAGGGGTCGGGAGCGTTTCAGAATAAAGCATTTGCTGTTGGTAACGTCGGACTCTGGTAAAAGGTCAGTGATTGAGTTCGTAAACTGTTTAGAATTGGATTGTGGAGGGCTAATAAAGTAGGAATGGACGATACACAAAGACAATCTTTCCCACAATTTTTAATTCAAAAAAATCAGGCAAACTGCATCTCTGGGAGTCGGGGGGGGGGGGGTCTAGGCTCTTCCCCTTTTCCCCTACTTCTCTCACACGCTTTCTCCTTCCTGTCACCCCTTTTCTTTCTCTCTCTGCCCTCCATGCCTGTCACTTCCTTTCTGCCCCACCCCATCATTCTTTCTGCCTCTGTCACTCTCCCCGCCCCCCCCCTCCCCCCCCCCCCCCCCGCCCCTCTCTCAGTGAGCTGTCCAACAGCAAGAGAAAGCAAAGGCTTCCCAAACACACAGCATGATGTAGCTCTTGGTTTCTCATGCAAATAGACTCTGATACTACCAGCTCCAGCATCCAGCCAGCATGTATCAGGCATCTTCTATCATTCCATGGAGGCACTTTATGTTGTATACACAAGATCGGAGTAAGACTGAGAGAGGGGTGCCAGCTCTGGGTTGGAAAATACCAGGAGGGGGGATTGGAGCCTGAGGAGGGGGGGTCGGGGAGGGGCTCGTGGGATCTCCCTGGAGACCACCTTCCAAAGTGGCCATTTTCTCGTCGCCTGGAGATCAGTTGTGATCCCAGGCAATCTCCAGCTACAGCCTGGAGGTTGGCAACCCTAGACTTGAGGGGACCTGTAGCCCTCTCACTCTGCCTTCCATTCTGTGTCAATGTGGGAGGCACATCAGCTGTTCATGGTGGACTTCCTAGATTCTGCTACTGAACATAAGTTGAAGAACGATGGCTTACTCTGACCCCTAGTCAAGGTGTTCTGAAGTGTGGCTTCTGGGGGGGGGGGAAGAGATCCCTTCCATCAGCCTTTATAACGGGCTTAATTCATGTCAATGAGCCAAACACAAAGCAAGAGATTCAGGGGATCACCAGATCAAAGCTTTAGTAGAGTCCCTTGGACTGCAAGGAGATCTAATCAGTCAATCCTCAAAGAAATCAACCCTGACTGTTCCCTGGAAGGCCAGATACTGAAGCTGAAGCTCAAATACTTTGGCCACCAAATAAGAAGGGAGCACTCACTGGAGAAGACCCTGATGCTGGGAAAGACTGAAGGTCAAAGAAGAAGAAGGGGATAGCAAAGGATGAGATGGTTAGACAGTGTTATTGAGGCAACGAACATGAAATTAAGCAAACTCCGGAGGATGATTGAAGACAGGAAGGCCTGGCGTGATGTGGTCCATGGGGTCGTGAAGAGTCAGACTCGACTGTGCGACTGAACAACAACAAACACAGGAATGTTTGGGCAGCCAGAATTAGGAGATCCAGCCCATGTTTTCAAAGCTTCCAATTTAGAAAAGGCAGGTGCCCACTTGGTTGGCCAAGCCACTGCATTTGGAGATCCCACCATAACCACCAACTTGGATCTCCTGGATCCCCTGCCTATGAAATGGAATCTCCTCGCCAACCTTTTAGAATAGAGGAGGAGCATTTGAAAAGATGTCATGAGAACTGCAGGACTGCAGACTTCCATTGGTCATGAGAGTCAGGATAATGTAGCGGTTAAGGGGTCAGACTAGGATGTGGGAGAACCAGGTTCAAATCTCCACCCTACCGTGAAGCTTAATGTGTAACTTTGGGCCTGTTGCTCTCTCTCTCGCTCGTTCTCAGACCAACCTACATCACAGGGTTGTTGGGGGAGGATGAAATGGAGGGAGAATCTTTAGTGGGATAAAAATATACGAGACTGACAGTTAGCTTCAAATTCCTGGCTTTCAGGTGGTCAGCATTTTGTGGCAGTGCAAAGGGCCATCAAGTTGCAGCCAACTTATGACAATCCCATAGACTTTTCAAGGCAAGAGAGGTCCAGAGGTGTTTTGCTATCGCCTGCCTCTGTGTAGCGTCCCTGGACTTCCTTGGTGGTCTCCCATCCGAATATAAACCAGGACCAACCCTGCTTAGGTTCCAAGATCCTCCACCTCTGCTTCCCCATCTCCCCGAGACATTCATTTCCAACACCAAAGAGTCTTGGAGAATTCTGAGCACCTTACCTTCCACTGAAGACTACCTTTTTGCGGGATGCTCCTTCGCTCCTGTTGGTCCGCTATCAACTGTTGCAGCTGAACTTTAGGAGTGGGAGGAAGTGTTGCCATGTGGAGCAATCAGAAGGTCAAACTCATAGAGAAAATAATGAGGATGTACCCCACGGTAGATGGAACCTGCTCCCACATTACACTAAAGTTTAGATGAAGTCACCTCCTGTTGGGTGGCTGCTGTCTTTTTACAAATTCTCTCTGGTGGTGGTGGAAGGTATCATCAAGTCGCAGCCAATCATCAAGTTTCAGCAAGGTAGTTTGCTATGGCCTGTCTCTGCAGAGCAACCCTGGACTTCTTTGGTGGTCTCCCATCCAAGGACTAACCACGGGCAACCCTGCTTAACTTTCAAGATCTATATGAGATCAAGCAAGCCTGGGCCATCCAGGCCATGGCAAATTTTCTCTAGCCACTGCTTGGGAAGTAGGCCCAGGTATGAATGCATTAGTCCCTGATTAAGCAATCATAGTTTAAATCAGAATAGGAACGCAAAGCTCTTCCACACAATAGCAATATTCCTTAAAAACATAAAGAATTGTTATGGGTATATGGGTTTCTATACTGCATATTTAGTGTGTATCTGTAGATGGATGGATGGATAGATGGATGGATGGATGACAGACAATAGAAAGAAGAAGAAGAGAAGAGGAGGAGGAGGAGGAGGAGATTGGATTTATACCCCGCCCTTCACTACCCAAAGGTGTCTCAGAGCGGCTTACAAACTCCTTTCCCTTCCCCTCCCCACAACAGACACCCTGTGAGGTAGGTGGGGCTGAGAGAGCTCTTGACAGAAACTGCTCTTTTTCAAGAACAGCTCTTATTAGAACTACGGCTTGCCCAAGGTCATCCAGCCAGGTGCAAGTGGAGGAGTGGGGAATCAAACCCAGTTCTCCCAGATTAGAGTCCACGCACTTAACCACTACACCAAACTAGGGAGGGAGGGAGGTAAGTAGATAGATGATAGACAGATAGATTAGATAGATTAGATAGATTAGATAGATTAGATAGGATAGATAGATAGATAGATAGATAGATAGATAGATAGATAGATAGATAGATAGATAGATAGATAGATAGATAGATAGATAGATAATGTATCTTTGTCTTGGACTCCAGCTCTCTCCAAGATGATCCGTAATGTATCCCATGTATAAACAATGCACCATAGGAGGAGTAGGAGTTGGTTTTTATACCCCACTTTTCTCTCCCCGAAGGAGTGTCAGAGCGGCTTATAATCAGAGTCCTTCAGCCTTTACTTCTCCTTTCCCCTTCTCTTCCGCAGCTTGTAAGGACTTTTTGGGGCTGCTGCCCCTTGCTCTGACAGAGAGTCCTCTCCGGAAGAACCCGAGTCTAGCTTGCCACTGGACTTGCTGTCCTCTTCTTTTTTACCGTCCTCTGGCCTTCCCAACTGGACCCTTAGAAATTCTTGCGCTTTCAGAACAGAGTCAACCATTTCTTTTTTGTCCTTAATCTTGAAAGTAACACCTTCTGCGAATCAGTATGCCCAGCTATTGAGTTCTCAGCCGCAAAAATTATTTATGGGCAAAGTGATGCAGCATCAGTGGAACCCAGAATCTCTGTGACATGTTCTGAGCAGGCAAAACCGTGCAGTTGTCAGACACAGAAAATCTCGTCACTTCTCCAGCTCGTTTAACCAGGATAATATTTGACATATCAGCATTGTACAGAAAGATCAGCAACTGCATTTCAGGATGAGATGCCCTTATTTCGTGAAATATGGATTCACTCAATACTCTGTTCCTTTGTATTATACTGCAAAGCTAAACACTAATTGAAACCCGTTTTCTACCCACCCTGCAATATGCTGTTACTCCCTTTCTGTTATCATCTCCATGGTTCCATCCTGACCCCCTGACTAGGACGCCTTCATCCCCAGCGTTCAGGTAAGCAGATATTGCTCTCCGCTCCGCACTTTTCACCTCGCAGCAACCCTGACAACTCTAGTCGCCGACTGCCTCTGACCCTCCTCCCGCCTTTAGACAATCAAATGTATTAGCAAAACTATAAAACATCGAGTTGATGGTTATGTCCATGATATAAAATTTTTACAATGTAATGCTTTAAGAAAAAAACTTGGCTTGTTGATAGTCCGGGGAAAGGCCTGCATTTGTGTTCATAGGGGAGTGGCAACAGATTGTTTGAAACCAGTTTCATTTGGAACGAATCACAAAGGTGCGACCAGGATAACAACTTGCAGTAGCCCTATGTCATCAAATTTTGTACTGTAATATCTGGTCTAGGAGCATTTTGCTCCAAATCCTACAAGGGCAAGGGGTGTTCTAGTTAGCAGACCTCTTTCCTGGTGCATTGCAAATAAGTTGTATGGGTATACGGGTTGCTACGCAAAGGCAGGCAATGGCAAACCACCTCTGAATGCCTCTTGTCTTGAAAACCCTACATGGGTGCCATTGGGCCCGTAGCTATGGCGGGGCTTTTGTGGGCTCTGCCCCCTTTCATAAAGGCACAGCCCCACAAGAATTTCTGCTGTAAATGCTTTTTTCCAATCATTTAAAAACATTTCTAAAGGCGTGCACTTCTTTAAGCAGAGCGGGGTGCTGTAGTTGACTAATTTCCACTCTGAGC